TTTTTTTTTTTTTTTTTGAGTAAGCAACGCGATCCAGCAACACCAAAATGAAGCAGCCGTTAGCTTAAGCTGCAACTACACCCCAACCCGCAGAAACCTTCCACCAACACTTCCAGAGGGATGCTCCCTCTTCGCCTCACTTCTCAGGATCCGCCACTGGACCAAGACAACTTAACAGACTTCTAGGAAGAGTTCCCAACCAGTCCTCAGAGGCCGCCCGCCCTTCCCCGCCTTTCCTTCAGAGGTCGCTCGTCGACAACGTCACATCCAGTTCCATTTCCGGAAGGGCCTCTTTCCACTCTCCAGGGCCGCTCTAGGCTGCCGCCTCGCCCGCCGGCTCCACTTCTCATTGGTTACTGGGCGGGGCCGTGACGTCCTTGGCGTGGCTGCAGGGAGGCCGCGGCGGGGAAAATGGCGGACGGGAAGGCGGGAGAGGAGAAGCCGGAGAAGCCGCAGCGAGCTGGAGCCGCCGGAGGTGAACACAACCCCAGCGTCGCGGGCTGAGTGGGGTGCTCTGGGTCTTTCTTTGAGCTCCCCGGGGTGGAGGGCTCAGGTAGGGCGAGAATGGGCGGATCTGGCGCTTACCCGGCCAGGTGCTGGGCCCAGATGAACCCCGGGCACGCCCGGTGCGGCCCGCTGGGATCTGGGCCCGCACCGCCTCCTTGACTGGGGATAGTCGGCCACAGTTCATCACCTCCCGGCCCCAGCGGAGGCCCCGCTTCCGAGCAGAAGGGAGATGGGCACCAGAAAGGGGAACCGAACTCGGGGTGGCACCCGGAGCGGCGGTGCAGGAGCCGCTGCCGCGACACTGGAGACGCACTTATACAAAACACAGGCACACTGTTAGTGGGAGTCACCGAGCAGTGGCCGCAGGAACTGGCCGCACGCCAAGTTTCCGACAGTGCCGGCCTCTCAGTTACACCTAGGGGTTAGTCTGCTGCTTTCCGCTGAGGAGCTGGACCACCCGGCTCTTTCGCTTTCCTTTAATTTCGAGCCGAGTGCTGACCCTCCGGCGGGATGGGTCGAGGCTGCGGAGGAAGAGGGGAATACCTTTGTCTGCCGGCTGGGCGAAGCCGCGGGGTCTAGGGTTAGGGTTTGGTTCCCTTTCTTTGGAGTGTCTACCTTTTTTGAGTTAGACTGTTGCCAGCTATCTGCGTGCCAGATACTTAGGTGGCTAAATAGGCTAGTGTGACTCTTCCTGTATTTTGTTACGATATAAACTCAGGCTATCTTTGTTTTTTCCCCACCACCCCTGTCAATTTGGGTCTTGTGCATTAAGGAAAAGAAACATAGTATCTCCGGCCACCCTCTGTCGTAACAAGGCAACTAATTGAACACGTGCGAGCTGATCGTAGTATCTTTGGAACGTTTTCAGTATTACTCTCTATTCTAACTCCCTCAAGTTCTTATTCCTGAAAGTATTTAATATGAGAAAATACAGAACATCAGTAGCGTTTGGAGGCAACTTTAAGAACTATTAATATGATGTTTAATGTGAATTGCCTTGAGAAAAAAAAGTGTAATGTTCAGTTACTTTGGACCCAGAATTTCCTTTTTAAAAGTACAGTGCTTTTAGTTAAACCAAACTGCCTCTCTCTGCACTCCCCCCTGGTTAGGGACTTTTTTTCGTTCAAAAATTGCTTTGGAAATTACCGAGTAAAATTACATTAAAAACTAGTTATTTGAGGAAAAACAAAAATTGGTAGCCTAAAGAATCTTATCTGGCTTTTAAACTGGCTTTTTAACTGTCTCGACTGAAAGTATAGGAGATGCATTTACTGTGCTGTCAAAATGTATTTTTAAGTATTAGCATAACCCACTGTATAATTTTTTCACCACCCTTTCAGTTAGGGATAATTAGCTCTAGTATGAATATTGATGTTTCAGTTTTAGCATGTTTTTGTGTTGGGGGGGTGGCATAAAATTATCTTTACTAATTGGTATGAAAAATTATTAAATGGTCTCCTTGTAGGTGAGTTGGAATAAGTAATAACCCTCAACTTCTACATAATTTGTCTTCGGTGTGCCTTCCTTTACAAGAAAATAGTGCTGTGGCATAGAAACTGCTTTTGGTGTGGTTTTTTTTGGTGTGTTTTTTTAAAGATAAGGTACCATTTTATTTATTTACTTGCTTACTTGATTGATTGGTTTTTGTTTTTGAGAGAGAGAGAGGAACACGGATGTCAGAGAGACATTTCTTGTTGCCTCCTGCACATGCCCAACTGGGGATGGAACCTGCAACCTGGGTATGTGCCCTGACCAGGAATTGAACCTGTCACCTCTTGGTGTAGGGACGACACTCCAACCAACTGAGCCACACCGGCCAGGGCACATAAAACCACTTTTGAATGTCAGGCATTTTTAATGAAGTTGTACAATGGAATCATAGTTAAAACAGTGGATATTGCTAAATTGATCATTTTGTGGCCAGTAGCCACTGTTTTGAAATATTATGAAGTTTATTCTAAGGGCTTATTTAGAGAATCATTCTGATTTTTAATTCCTATTAAACACTCCAGTAAGTTGGAAGTACAAGTATTTTTTATGAGATTACTTTCATAGTTAACATGAATTTATGTGAATAAGAGAAGCTACTTATTTGAACCACCTGCTGTCACGTTAAAGAGTAGAGATAATGCTAAGGGTGAGACCTTAGATAGATTTTTTTTTTCTCCCTTTGGCTAAATTTTTGTAGCTCCTTGAAATAAATAGAAATTTTAGAGAAGAGCTATTCATACTATAATCATAACCATTTCAGGATATTGTAGGTTATCTAAAATCTATCTACTTGAATGAAATTGACATTTATTATGCCACATACTTATTCATCCTTTAAAATATGTTACATTGTTAAAAATTTTCAAAAATCTATGGTCATCCAAAATTTTGTTTTCCACAGTCCCAAAATACAAAACATCTCATTAAATACTTTGAAAACAGTTTTTATTAAAAGCCCCAAATATTAAAGTTTTACATATTGTGTTTAAAGGAAAGCACTTAATGGGCTTAAGAATTGATGTTGCTATTTAATGGTATGTTTCAAAGGTATATAATTTTCTAATAAGATATATAGAATTGTAGAAATTATAATAATCACACTAATAATAATAGATTTGGCTGCCATATTTTCCCATTTGCTTTATTTCCTAAATGTTTTGTTAGAAGAGGATTGCATGAAGAGAAAATAACAGTTGAAGCCACACAAAGTGATGAGTACTCATAGTGCACCCACCTTCCTTCACTCCTTTCCCCCCACCTTTTTATTGAAGACTAGATATTTTCTAAAGCTACTGAGCGTTTACATTTGCTTACCAAAAAAAACCCAAAAACTTCTTGAGAGAGAGCAAGGCAGGTTGTTTCCTATATCCAAAAATAAATTGCTGATCCTGGAATCAGCCATGTGTAGAAATGACCTAATAGACATACTGTGCTTAATTTTCGGATGACAAAAACACAGATGTGAATAAAACTGAGTTGTTGTCAGTTGATTAATTGATAGTTTTCCCAGCTCCCCTTTTCATGCTACCTTTTTCTAGAGTAGTCTCTAGAAATATTCCCTACAGCATCATGCAGTTGGACAGATACTATTGTGTTTCTTGTATTAGCACATACTAGTTCAACTAGTTGTCACAATGTTATTAATGTTATAGTAAGAATTATATTTTCACTTTTCATTATTTATGCTTTAATTTTTCTAAATTTTATTTGTTTCAAAACTATTTTCTGGATAACAGGAGACCTAGAATTAGGTAAAGATAGGTTTTAGAAGTACAGGAAATCTTGACTAATTATAGCCTTTGGTCACAGTTCAAAGCACAGTTACACTACAATCAGGACTAAATGTTCTTTATACTATTTGTTTTGATTTATTTTCAGAGTTTCTGTATATTCCAGTTGGTAGAATTTTCTATTTTAGCTGTGTATCAGTCACAAAGAAGTTATCACTGTTTGGATTTACTGTGACTTTTATAACTATTGAATAGCAATCCATCTTTCTTCAGGTGCTTCTGTAATTTCATATCTGAGTAAGTGAATGGCACCTCCTGGGGAAATCCCAAAACCTAATCCTGCTTAATTCCTTTCCTACGTTGTCATTACAACTCTCACCGTTTGTCCAAAGGGAATAAAGAGTTCTTTTTATTTTTCCTCTAAACAAAGTCAAATGTTCTGTTCAAAGTGCTAATTAACCAGAGACCCTATAATTCCAAAACTATATAGATTGAGATTATAGCCTCCCGTTTTTTAATCATTTACTTTTTTTAATCAGTTACTTGTCAGTCTGTGTTTAATTTCCCTCCTTCCCTTGCCTTCAAGCTTTTTGTCCTGTTTCTTAACTATTTTCAGGGCTATCCCTTAGCTCATCTTCTCTTGCTCCATAAATAAACCATCCAGTGTAGCAGAATACATTCTATAGAGTGAATTAGTAAACTGGGGAAAGAAAATAAGAATTTTAATAATAGCCAGTCTTCCCAATATGTTCTTAAATAGCCTTGCATAACATACCTAAGACATTCAAGATGTGAACTAATTTCATCATTGATGAATGCAAACATGAGCAAAATTACTGAAAAATATCTTTATTCCAAACTTACATATGCATGTCTTCTACTGTTTGAAATTATAATTAGGTCATCTTTCTTTCATGAGAAAAAATAATGTATAAACCTAACTATGATTGTTAAAAGCTTTTAAGAGTAGCTTAAAACAGGTGATAACCAAGCTTTTAGAGTAAAATGACTCAAAAGGTGATGACCTTGTAGTCTTCCTTGAAGTTCCTTTACAAGTAAAGATTTTGTGAGATGTACAAGAGGAACGCATCACTCAAGAAAATAACTCCAGAGTATATTAACATTGTAGTTCAGGTAATAATGGGCTGTTCGTAACTAGGTACTGTGTATAACTAATAGTACATTATTGAAGAATATTAGAATGTATTAGTCAAATGTATTACCCTATGGTGTGACTAATTGTTCACAAACTAGTTTGTGTAGAACAATTTACAGACCTTAATTTATAAGAAGCAAAATCTCACAAATAACTAGATTATTGTACAATTTACAGTGTTTAGTTGAAGGGTCTTTACTTTTTGTGAACTCTGTGTTTGTAATTTTAAATTGCTCTGTATTTTATGCTAGTTAATTCATGGGAGCCTCTTCTACTGCCACACAATCTCAGTTCCTGCTGTATACTCTAACAAACAGTGGAAGAGACTGTTGGGTCAGTAGGTGACAACTGCAGAGGTATCTTCCTTATAACGATGCTTTTTGAGGTTGCTGCTCCCGTCAGTCTGCTCAGTAAAAATAGCTCATCTTGGTAAGTTGTTTCGACTTCACCAGGACCTGAAGAAGAAGCAGAAAAACCTGTGAAAACTAAGACTGTTTCTTCCAGTAATGGAGGGGAAAGTTCCAGTCGCAGCGCTGAGAAGCGATCAGCTGAAGAAGAAGCTGCAGACCTCCCAACAAAGCCTACAAAGATCTCCAAGTTTGGATTTGCCATAGGTAGTCAGACGACAAAGAAAGCCTCAGCCATATCCATCAAACTTGGATCAAGTGTGAGTTGTTATTTTACATATGATATTCGTAATGGGTCTTGAGAACTTGTTTTGGAAACCTACTTTTACTGAGTTAGGTAAATTAAGTATAAAAAAGTTACCTGGATGTATGCATGAACTTTCATGTAAATATTTAAGGAGTTATTAGCTCCATGTTCAAGAGCTGGATGAATTATATCTTAAAGCTATTTTTAAAAAAGGTTTGGAGTAGAAGAAACAACTACAAGTAATAGCTTAGAATTTTTCTAAGTTGAACAAAACCTTTTAAAAATATCTTTCTAGCAATATTAAAAATAGTATCTCTAGAAATTAGTTATTTTATCTTAAAAGGTTAATAGTATTCCTTGATGAGAGCTTCCTGGTTATCTTACTTTGGAGCTACACGAGGACATTCATTGATATCCTGTGACAGTAGTTCCTTACAGATCAACTTTTGATCCCTCGTTTTAATATGTAAACCATGAATTAATATTTATGAACTAGGGGGTGTCTGGAAAGTATTTGAAGTATTAGATTGAAGCACAGGAGGTTTAGAAATTTGATTGTTTGTGACTATTTTATATGGCATCAAAATAGATCTCTTTAAGAAAAAAAGTTACATGTATTGCTATTGGCTTTAGGTAATAGTTACATTCTTGTGTAAGGAGAAAAATCCTAAAATTCCTTTTGAGTTGTTTGTTCATATCTTTTCTGTGAAAATTAATGCTCAGTTGCCAGATGCATACAGCTTTTTTCTGCATCATATGTTCATTCAAAGATCTTTAAAATATGATATGAATCAAGTTCCTACTATAAGTGTGAGCCACACTTATAGTTTTAAAAGAGCTATCATTTCTCAGAACCTCCACTCCCACCCTATGCTGTTTTGCCTTGCCTTTTTCTTTGTTCCTTTTTTTTGAATTCAATCTGGATAAAAGACATTCAACTTGTAACTTCATTACTTAGGACTAGTCTCCCTACCTGGACTGATTCTTTTTGTTGTTGTTTTTTAAGTTGCATAGACTTACCTGCATAAATATTTACTTTTTTTTTTTAATAGTGATTAAACGTGTATTCTCATGTATACTTCTCATACAGATGTTCCCCTTGATAATAAATTTTACTATGGTTCAACACCCTCCCAAATCGGATATACAAATCCCTACTTTCTCTAAATCATACACATGATTTAGTAATTGCTGATCATATTAGATGGGAGGGTTATGTTTGAAAAAGCCTTTCAGTAAGACATTTAATCTTTGGAAAATAAAAACTTGTTTTTATAAAATAAATAACAGTGTAAATATAATTTGCTTGGGGGGGGTTAGGTTTAAGATACAAAAAATAGTTGGAATTGTAAGATATAAGGGTGTTTTTAGAGTCACTATGCATAATCTCCAAATTAACATTTTTTTATTCCTTCAGAAGCAAACATTGTTTATAAAAAATATTTGTGTGTGTTATAGAAGAAGGGATGGTTAGTTTTGTTGCAGGTCAGAGAAGATTTCACTGATGAGGCGATGTTTGCATTTGCCTTAAGTGCAGGCGGGAGGCAAAAGGGCATCTCAAATAAAAGGAATTTCACACAAAAGGAGTTTATATATGAAACCATACAGTACATTTAGGAAATTGTTCTTGTCGAGTGTTTGGAAGGCAAATATAGGATAGAAAGCCCCTAAAATGAGACCAGAGGACCAAATCATAAAGGGCTTGAACTCCATAATGTAGTTTGGCTTTATTCTTTAGGTTCTGGCAGAGCCATAGAACATTATAAGGAGTATTGACCCTTAAGCGGATTTGCATTTTAGAAACATCACTGTATAGATCACTCTGTACAAAGGATTAGAGGGGGGAAAACAAGATAAATCTAATCAATAGGACCTTACAATATAATGTGCAAGTTGAGGAAAAGATATTCTGGCTTCAGTACTTACGAACGCTATGAATCTAAAGTATCCCAGGAGCTTTAAGTGGAGCTGTTCACTTGGGCGTAGGCATAGGATTTGGTAGTTTAAACTATTTAAAACTTTGGGAATGAATGAAGTTGACCAGGGGAGAATAGAGAAGGAAAGGTCACTAAGGACAGAATTTTGTGTATCTGTCATTTGGGGGGTGGGGGCAGGCAGGAGGGAGGGTAGAGAGGGAAAATAAAAGGTAAAAGAATTAGGAGAATCACCAATAAAAAACAGTGTCACAGAAGCCACGGTGGGGGTGTTTTAAAAAAAAACCTGATGATTAGAGTCAAATGCAGCACACTAGTCATTGGTGAGGACAGAATCAGGGTTACCTGATTCTAGTTGAGGGAGGAATCATGGAGAATGGTAAGGAAGGAAGCCAAATTGCAGCGGTTTGAAGACTGGGTGGTGAGAGGATTGGAGATAGTAAGGACAATTTACTTCAAAAAGTTAGGTTAGATAGAAGAGATGGGATGAATGAAGCATGTTTATAGGCTATAGGGCAGAAAGCTAACTAGTAGAAAGTTGAGTCTTGGTGTCTTTTATGTTCCCAAGGCAACATCGTACTTAAGTATTACTAATCATTTACTCTTGTACTGGGTGCCCCATAGCTAAATGATAATAAACTATTGGTCCTAACTAGGAAATCTTTTGCAGGAGGAAAAAAATGGGACAATAAAGTAAGAGCTCTGAGTTTCTCACAATTTCTAGGAAAATATAAATTTTAATATTTGATGATTAATTGTATTATTAAACAAGCCTGTGTAAACATTATGTCATACTCTTTAATATGTTTTTTTCTTCAGAAACCTAAAGAAACTGTTCCAACTCTTGCTCCAAAAACCCTTTCAGTAGCAGCAGCTTTTAATGAAGATGAAGATGTAAGTTGACACCTAGTTTGTTTATTTTGCTTTAACCAATTCTTTAAGGAAGATGTTAGTGGCAGATTGTAGGCTCTGTTAATGGTACTCTAGTGAATTTCCTTTAAAACTTTGATCAGTTTTTGTGTGTGAGACATCTGCATTTCTATTTATTTTATTTGGTTGTAGGATTACTTAAAATATTGTTGACTCTAGGGGCAAGGAACTTAAGAATCAAATTGATAAATGCTTATTATAAATAATAATATATGTATGTACTAGGAAGTATGTAGTATGTAGTATCCAAAAAAAGAAAAATTGAATACTTTAATAATTTTTATAGCTGAAGTCTTCAGTGATGAGACATTATACATGCATTTAACTTACAGCAGGCAACTATAGTGGTTTCTCCCTTTATCTCCATGAGGAATAACAAATAGTGTGGGTGATTCTGCTAGAAGTTTTAGTCAATAAACTCATATTCCAGAGTAAACATAAGATGCTAATCTGCTGTCTTAGGCAGTGCTAGTCCCCTCATGCCCCTCACAGGGTCCCTCTCTTACCGTGCTTATGAAAGACACTGGAATTTTAAGCATAATTTTCACTTTCCTTAGGCACCGACTTTAGAACCTAACCCTTACTTAAGATGTGACCCTATTGTATAACAATTAATTGTTACTGAGTACATGAGGAATTGCTCCCAAAGGGAATCTGGATAAGAATTGTACATTCAGAGGGGTAACTGGGAAGAATATATAAGAGAAGAAATATTAGTTGGGTACTGAAACATTAGGTAGGGTTTTGACAAACCAAGGAATACTTTTGTAAACTAAGACATCAGCTTTCAAATCACAAGTGGTAAATACTAAGCTGTATTTGACTGGACTGGAGATTTTTGTAGAGGATTTTTGGGCGAGGATAAATGTGAAATGATTGGAGCCCAGGTCAATAGCTAAAGAATAACGTGATCGCTATATTCTCCTTTGGACGTTTACACATTTGAGTGCTTTCTATATGCTAGGCACAGGGAGATTACAAAGCTAATCAGACATGTTCCTCTAGGAACTCAGCCTTCTAGAGCAGAGACTTAATAAAAATCAAAAGTACCTGGAGATGAAGTGATGTGGAAATTCAGGGAAAGAAGAGAGGCTGGGTAACTAGATGAAGTGGCATGGAAAGACCACTGGGCTGGTGATTGGGAAGACCTGGGTTCTGTCCCTGTTTGTCCAGTTCTTCACCAGTAGAAAGCCTGTGAATAAATCACTTTACCTTTTGGAGCCTTAGTTTTTAAACTGTAAAATGAAGGCTCTATTTAAGAATAGACTTTTAAACCATTTTTTAGAGTTCTGGGGTTCCATAGAAATGTCTTAGGAGCTACTGTGCTGGGAGGTGGTGATGCCTAACAGGCAGGGCTCTGGTCTCCTGCCCCTTTTTCTTACAACAGTTCTTTTATCTGGTTGCTAATTGGGACCCCAAGTAAGATTTTGTTGAGGAAAAATGTATTTCATTGCCCCCCCCTTTCCCCCAAAAAAGTTTAAAAAGCACTAACTGCCCGGCTGGGCGTGGCTCAGCGGTTGGGTGTCGACCTAGGATCCAGGCGATCAGGGTTCGATTCCCGGTCAGGGCACATGCCCGGGTTGCGGGCTGCGGCTGATCAATGACTCTCTCATCATCGATGTTTCTGTCTCTCTCTCTTCCTCTCCTTTCCTCTCTCTGAAGTCAGTGAAGATATATTGAAAAAAATAATAATAATAAAAATTAAAAAAAAATAAAAATAAAAAGCACTAACTTAAATAATAATTTCTGTTTTCTTTCATTCTAACATTTTAAAGAGATTAGGTAGCATTTTGGTATGTACAGATTATATGAGGACAATATAGGAAGAAAGGAGCAGCATGTGTAAAAGTGGAGAGACTGGAAATTTTAAGGACTACGTAGTAGTAATTGCTTACTTTGAATGCCTAACAATTTGGATATCTTTTCACATAACTTTATTTTACCCTCAATATGTCCCTGTGAATCATGTGGTACAGTTATTTCTATTTTGCAAATGGAGAAATTAAGAAGTAAAGTATGCTGGTGCACACAGATGTTGAACTAGAACTTAGGTCTTTTGGTTTCTAGTCCTCTGTTACTGCTTTTTCTAAATACTTTATAAAGAAATTTTGCACAGGTTCAGGCATCACTGTTTACTGTAAGATGGTAAGGATAGGAAAGGATAAACTTGTCTCTTAGATAAAAAGAACACATGCATCTAAACTCTTTATATGGGGAGCATTTGAGATCTTGCTTTCCCTTGTATATGTTGTTATCTTGGCTCAAATAAACTTATAAAAATTCAAAAAAGTGTTTTTCACAAACCCTAAGTAAAATTGACTAATTAGATTATACCAAAATTAAGGATTTCTGTTAAATAAACAAGATTATTGACAAAGTTAATGGTGAAAGTTGGGAAGAGGTATTTGCAATGTGTAAAACCAACAAAGAGGGGGACCTTGCCAGTATGGCTCAGTTGGTTGGAGTGTCGTCCTGTGCACCAAAAAGTGGCAGGTCCAAGCCTTGGTTGGGGTGCATTCAGGAAGCAACCAATGGATATCTGTCTCTCTGTCCCCTACTCCCCCTCCCTTCCTCTCTCTTAAAAAAAAAAAAAAAAAAA